ACTGTGTGATGATGACAATGTAAATGTTGAAATGTTGTGATGATGACAATGTAAATTGTTGAAACTGTGTGATGATGACAATGTAAATTGTTGAAACTGTGTGATGATGACAATGTAAATTGTTGAAATGTTGTGATGATGACAATGTAAATTGTTGAAACGTTGTGATGAGGACAATGTAAATTGTGGAAATGTTGTGATGAGGACAATGTAAATTGTGGAAACTGTGTGATGAGGACAATGTAAATTGTTGAAATGTTGTGATGATGACAATGTAAATTGTGGAAATGTTGTGATGAGGACAATGTAAATTGTTGAAACTGTGTGATGAGGACAATGTAAATTGTTGAAATGTTGTGATGATGACAATGTAAATTGTTGAAATGTTGTGATGAGGACAATGTAAATTGTTGAAATGTTGGAGACAATACCTAGACGTATTATTTATAATAAAATTATATTCAATTATCAAATGAGATCTCTACCCCATATATGTTGTTTAAAACATAGTTGTTTAATTATTTTGATAGATCTAAATCATAAATTATATAAATTTTCAGAATCAAAATTTGACTACCAGTTGAAACAAAGACCATTTAAATCACTTTTCAGAAATGGAATGGAATTTCCTGATCTTGGTGAGAAAAACAACAACTATTATTGCAGTTCCAGCAATGTAAACTTCCACTGCACATTTTTGTTGAATCTTAATGGAACCAAATGTCATATTGTAATCTTGAGAAGTTTTGTATGAAACTTTAATCTATCAGCTGGTAGAGTAAATATTTAGACAACTGTAATTCCACACTTTAACTCCACAGGAAACTATTTACCATTAATGACAAAACTTTAATATAAACTTACACATTTTGATCTAATAACTGAACAGCTTTTATATTATGTATAAAAGACAATCGCGACATATTTCACTATTGCAGGAATAACTCCAAGAAAGTCTGCTAAAATTCCAGACAAGTAATGTAATAACAGCTATCAGTCCATTCCAGAGTTAATGTCATTAAACAATTATAAATCATTATTTTTAATCCAAGGTGAAAAGACAGATAAGAAAAAAATCAATCGATCATAATGATTCTATATGAGTGAGATTGAAGATAGGGGTTTGAACAGTAATAATGGGAACATAGTATTAGATAGATATGGTTGGCCACATATAGGCTGATCTATAAGAAAGGGCTATCAGAAATAATCTATGAAGCAAAGATTTAATTGATCATGTATGTAATATCAACATAAGCAGTCTAAGAACCCAAAGCATTTGATAAAAAGTTCAAAAATTTTAGAATTCAATAACATGGTTCAAGTACTATTGAAGACATGACACTCCACAATCAAGGACCATTTTTCACAGTTTTTGACATCCTGGAACAGGTCCAAGTAATAGCCTCAGTGTTTTGGCACCTCAAAAATATTCAAAATTAGTCATATTATAGAAAATAGAGTCATATTATAGAAAATAGAGAGGTTACATAAATCAAACACCTATCTACAAGTCTGACAAGAAACAAAAAAAGACAGTTGTGATGTTCAATTAGAGACAATGAATGTGTGTGCTCTGCCATTTTTTTCACTAACTTGAGATTCTTTTCATGTTTAATGACTTGTGTTAAAAATGATAAGGAATATCAAAATGATAGAATTGTGCTGAATGAAACACAATACCATGTCACTTTCCTCAATTATTCTGTGCCCAGTGTCCTTCAAGCACAATTTACCTAGAAACTGTAACTTTTCAGGTTGTATTGAATTTTGACTCAAGAATAGTGTCACTGTCAGTACATACATGTACATTGGGAGGGTGATGCATATTTAGTTGAAGCTATTGAAAAGTGAATAGCCACCCCTAACATTCTCTGCTCTACCCACTCTTCCCCTTCTACAGAACAACCCAATACTCTTCACCATGATTGTAACTCAAATTTATTCAATATGATTAAAAGAGGTAATACAACAATTGACTAATCAAATAGAGACCAGTGTTTTCACTGGTAACAAATAATATACAGTATAGTGTGTTTATATATTATATAGCCCCACCCTATCTTGTCAGGTAGATAATATATTGACCCCTGCTAAAATAAAACACTATCTACATGTATATTATATTTTTAAAGTTTCTATTCAGACTATGTCTTATATAATACACATGTATTGAGCAAACATCAGTATTTAGAGTCAAAACAACTATATGAGCACTCTTCAGAAACACCCTGAGACTGGGTTTGCAAAGAGAGTATATTATAGTAATTATGCCAAACTGTTTTGCAGTACATTCATTATTCACTGTTACATTGTATAGAAGCACTTTCTGGAAGAACTTTTAATACATTTCTGTGCTAGGCGAAAAAAAAAGGTCCAAGAAAACCTGGTGCCACTTTGCAATTGGGTTG